ATGTTCTTCTCACTGTCTTTCTGCATCACCTGGTGGGGAAGGAGGAAGGTGGAGATCAGTGTCAGCGTGAGTAGTAAAATATTGTGCTATTTTATATGTATTTTTGTATAATGAGAGAATTTAAAAAAGGATGTACAATCGACTCCATTGTGTTTCACTTACCTTTGCTACAGCCATCTCAAAGTCCTCTTGGGTGACGTGAACTCTCCTTTCTCTCAGAGCATACATGCCAGCCTCTGTGCAAACACCCTGAGAGGACACGTAACAGGACATTAAAGTAAGTTGGACCTCTTTTTTTTTTTAAATGTTCCAGGTGGCACTGTGAGGACATTAAAGTAAGTTGGACCTCATTTTTTAAATGTTCCAGGTGGCACTGTGGAGCTACTTTGTCAACACCCACTGGGTGATAGATACACCCACTGGTTTTGTCTCTCTTAATTTGCAAAGTAGCAACAAGCTTCAACACCCTCTGCTTTTATCTCTCTTAATTTGCAAAGTAGCAACAAAATTCTGAAATAGTGCATCAACGAAATGAAATAAACATTGTCATTTTAGCATTTAACATGTAAATTAGCTTTGATTAGACTGTCCTAAGAATCAACCAAACAAAATATCCCCCCTCACCACTCATTATTACAATACTGACAAACTCTCACCTTAACCTCTGCACCAGAGGCTCCAGGCATCAGCTCAGCAATCTTCCTCAGGTTAATGCCACGTGTCAGGTTCATTTTTCTGGAGTGGATTTTCAGAATGTCCAGACGGGCCTAAAGTGCACATTAAAAAATGAGCTCACACTCGACATTGCCCTCCTTCGCCTCCCACCCCTGAATCTGTGTGAAACGCAAAACTGGGGTGCGATCACCTACCTCTTCATTAGGAGGAGGAAACTCAATCTTCCTGTCAATCCTGCCTGGTCTGAGCAAAGCCGAGTCCAAAATGTCGATACGGTTGGTGGCCATGATGACCTGCAGCAACATGGATGATAAAGCTTAGATGAAAATCCTCGCAACATAGACCAAAGTTTTGTTCAGCATTCACAGAAGTGTAACACACATTATACTACTAATACTACACAATATTTATATATTGAATTTATATCAAAATCAAAAATCTATTATAAGTTTATAACTGCAGGGTTGGATCAATGCACAGTAGATAAATAGTACCTTAGCTCATCAGAAACACTTCAGTGTGCGTGTGAATATGTGTTGTACCTTGATGTTTTTCGTCGCCTCGAAGCCATCCAGCTGATTAAGGAGCTCCAACATTGTCCTCTGCACCTCACTGTCGCCCCCCGACCCGCCCTCCAGCCGAGACGAACCGATTGAGTCGATCTCATCCATGAAGATGATTGAGGGGGCATGTTCTCTAGCCATGACGAACAGCTCTCGAACCATACGAGCACCTGGAGTAAAAGTCTTAAGTTATATTTAAACCACAAAACAGGTCACAGCGTGTCATTACAGGAGATGGGGGCGGGGAGGGTTCCAAAGTGAGACCACTGTTAAAAACCACTGTTTTGTTATGGTTTAATAAGCCGGATAGAGCAACCTCCTGTAGTTAGGTTCTACAGTTGACTTCTTGGCCATTTGTCAGAGATTATGAATGATGAGCGACAACGGAAACTACCCAAATGACAGTGGTCAAAAGTTTAGTGATATTGGCCTCACGACATGCAAACAAACAGGATTGAATGGCTGCTAAAGGTAACCATGCTAATCTGTCGTCTGTTTTTGCTCTCCTTAACAGACTCTTGCATCTGTCATTAATTGAGCCCAACAAATTGGAACACAGCGGGAGACAGGACTCACCCTCTCCAATAAACTTTTGGACCAACTCAGACCCAGACACCCTGATGAAGGTGCAGTCAGTGTGGTGGGCCACAGCTCTGGCCAGCAGGGTCTTCCCTGTACCTGGAGGTCCGTACAGGAGTACACCCTACAAACACATAGCAAGTACGCCATTAAGTAGCTTAGCATCCTATTCAATTAATTTATATTTAGGACCTAGCATGTTGATTAATTAAATATAGTCAAAATACACTTGTGTGAATAATATATACATATATTATTGATTTTTAATTTAAGTATATTTTTGGCATAACCTAAGACATAGAACAAAAATGAACTTTCCATAGATTCTAAGCTAGTTTAACAAACCCACCTTTGGCTGTGCAATGCCCAAAGCCTCAAAAAGCTCGGGGTGTTTGACCGGCAACTCAATAACTTCTTTAATCTCCTTAATCTGCTTATCCAGGCCACCAATCATTTCGTAGGTGGAGTCCGGAACCTTTTCCACCATCATGAGAGAGACCAGGGGATCCACCTTGTTTGGCAAAATCTTGTGCAGGGTATAGCTGTCGTTCCGCAGGGCCACGCGACAGTTGGGCGTCACCTGTTTCAGAAGTGTGCAAAAACAATGGAGGTGAGGAATCGACCTGTGTAACACTTTACTTTTTTCATAAATGTTTTGATTTCTATGCTATTCAAACTTATGAAACTATTTTAGTTTGTTAGACAGTTTTCTGAACTGAATTTTCTGAGATAGAAAAAAAACAAACAAAACTTACATCATTGATATCAATGTTTTTGTCAACATCCACAACAAATTTCCCTTCTGGATGAACCTGCAAATGAAAACAGACATTTCTTTTTAATTATTGCAATTGGCTTACAAATTAACCAAAGAACAGTATTTTAATCAGCGAGGTGTCAATGTGTAGTCGACATGATAAATACATAAAGAGTAATATAAAGTATAGGAAAAAAATAAAATAAAACCAATAAAATGAAAAAAATATTTTTCTGTGGATCCAGGAACCCCCATGACCTTTGGCCTGGTTGGGTTCTGTTGTATGTTTTAAAAATTACACAAGTTACCTTGACCAGCACTTTCTTTTTGTCCATGACCCTCACGACTTCACCGACATAGGAACCCTGCTCCTGCAGTAGCTGCAGCTCCTCACGAAGGAGGCGCACTGAGAGGAAAGAAAAAGTATCAGCCAAATTACAGTTGTCAATGCATTGAGTTTGACATTTTTGGTTTATACCATTTATGTGTGTCTAAGTATGGTAGAAGTGATAATAGTGATAAGAATTAATTTAACTCAAAATTAACTAAGTTTTGTTATGTGGTGAAAATCAATGACGGAATAACAAGGATAAAACAATTAAGTTATAAAATACTAAAAACATTCCTTATTTATTATTCCTTTATTTCAACGAATAAAAGAACAACCCTTTAAGCTAGATCAACATAATTGTAATGATCCCACATTTACCTTTAGCATTGAGCTCATTTCTCTGTGCCTGCAGACGTCTAAGATTCTGGCTCTTGTCATTTACTGTTAACTGCAAAGAAAACAGTTTTGAGATTAACAAGAAAACATGATATGTTATCACTATACCAGTTCAGTTTTTTACCTGTAATTCCTCTATCTTAGACAAGTAGTATTGCCGTAGACCTGTGCCTCCTTTACAATCACCCATCTCCATCTGTAAAAACAAAATATGAATTTAAAACATATACAAAATTCCAAATAATTTAAATAACTATTAATAACTACTAGTTTAAATAACTATTAATAGCTACTACTTGAAAATGGTCTTTGTGTGTTTCCCCTTTTAAAATCAAACCAAAATGAATAGCCATGGTGAGAGTACAACACAAACAGCTAACGTTGTTTTCATTTTAACGTTTAGGTATGTATCTGACATTCGTTACATTTTCTGGATTTTCGATTGACTTCTATTGTCAGGGTAATCCTATTCCAAAAACGTATTAAGCCCACTTAATTGTCTTAAAAACCGAGGTATCATAAACGATAGTTTACTAAATAATTTGTGATCATTACTGCAGACAGTTTTAACAAAAGACCTGAGTTTATCCATTTGTGTCTTAAGTCGCATATTATGGCACCGATACCGCAACAACAGACAGATTTTTAGAATATATATGACACAGCAAAAACATTTATCCGAGCTTATTTTTGTTATAACAAACAAACGCGTACTGTGAAATGCAAGTCATTCTGAGATGCTAACCTGAGCAAACTGCTGTATTCACGTCAATTAGCTTTGGCTAACTGTGTAGGCGCTTTAGCAGTAATGAGACAGCAAACCGGTTTCTCATTCACCGTTTAGAATGGTATCAACATAAATCGTCGGTTCGAGATGGCGTATCTCGAACTCCCGAAAAATGTAATACACTGTGGGTCTATGCGCTAGTACAGCCGTTCCAAACGTTCGTTAAATAAAAAAAATGTCAAGACAGCACAAACGAAGCTACCTACATGACCAGTCCCGTCCACCTCCATCTTAAATTTTATATTTCCGTTTTACAGTATGCACTTCCGGTAACGTAGAACAAACCTATAAATCCTACATTGCCATCTACAGGACAACGAAACGCACCTTTTAGTACGGTATAATTGATGTTACCTCATTGGGGAACTGTAATATTCCCCTTTAAAATATTAGGTTTAACACTACTGCAAAATATATACTTACGTGTATTTTTGACGTAATGGGTATTGTTCGAATGACGAACAATATCCACTATGTTTACTGTAAAAAAAAAAAGTAAATCTACATTGTTTTCTTGTCTTTACTTGTCGTTACTATTCAAGGTTATTTTATAATAGTGATAGTGTTTTACTGTAATGTTTAGAATCACCATGTTAAATAATCAAAAGTTTAACTTAGGAGTACTATTATATATGATACACAACGACTTATGAGGCCCAGAACTATAAGTCAGTTACAATTCATTAGAAAATAATGATTTTTAAACCGTTTGTCTATTTAGTCTCTTAGAACTGTCCATCGTTGAGTAATAATAATGAAATTGATGATAATGAAGACTTTATACTTAATTGAATTACTGACTGTTGGGTTGCTTGAACTACTGACTATTTAAATTAATTAACAGAATGACCCAGAGCCCATAAAACATAATTATGAAAGAAGCCACCGGCAAAAAATGCAAGTACAGAACAATCATTGGTCAAGTATATTTATTGTAGAAAATAATCCAAATGTATAAAAGATAATGGCTTTTGATCAGTACACATAATGTAAAATTTTACAAAGAGGCTGCACAACAAGCCTCTGTATATGTTTTGGCACTGCAAGTTATATGTTAATGTGGAATGATTTAACACACTGGAATGTTTTATACAAATCCTTAACAATTCAAACCAAAGGTTTACTCACAATGAAATAGTACTGGATTTAACAAGCAACACAAAGAACACATAATAGCATACACTTTGTAAACAATTCTGAAAAGTACAAAACAACTGATGGTCCAGGCTCAGAGTGGATTCACCACTGTTTATAACGAACAGTTTTCCTAAAAGTTCCCAAGATCATCAACCAAAAACGAAAGCACCTAAACCTCTTAAGGTCACCCCTGGCATTGAAAAAAAACTTATGTCAATCTCCCAGGCACCAGAAGTAATTTTTTCCCCCATAAAGTTATTTACAAGACACAGAGTCAGCTGCAAAAATCACAATGTTTTCAACATTAATTCCTCATTTATAATGCTAAACAAGCTAAACAACAGCTAAACAACAGCTAAACAAAAACAGAGCTTTTAAGAAAGGCTCAAAATGATAGACTTATATAGGAACAGTACCACAAAGTGTGTGTTTCCACTGCAGGCAACACAATTCATTTTAGTACCAGGTTTTAATTTAGTTTTTGCTTGGAAGGTAGGGCTTATTTGGAGGTATAGACCCAACTAAAAAAAACTGTTTGCAAACTCACTGTTTGGGACAAAACATAAATGAAAGTGAAAGACAAAGTGCTAAATGTACTCATATTTGTACAATTATTATTATAACTTCTATAAACCACACGGCTGGATTTCATAACTTGGTGATTAGAAAATAAATTTAGGCTGAAAGTCATCGTTTCAGCCACAGAGTCAATGCGTACAGGAAGCAGGAAGTCTTAACAAACAAATCAGATACTAGTCGTCACATACCAATGAAAGGCAGCGAGGCATCAAAAAGGCAGAAACTTTGAAAATGTTCTTAAAGTCCCTGATAATGTTCCTTGATAAAGTAGATTCATAGAGTTGAATCACATGCTTGTGTTGCCCAAATCCTTCTCATTGCTTTGAATTAGTGACACGTGGCAATAAAGTTAAATTTAATCTAATAGATTAAAATTGTTTGAGTCATGGCTTTTATCCAGGTCTGAGTATTTTCAGAAATCTAAAACTAATATAATCTCACGAATGTTTTCACTTCTGGTCTACAGTATTTCTGTATTTCTTTATATTATTTTATAAAATGTATGCAAGTATACATTTTTGCCATTTTTGTAAAGGCAGGATTAGATCAATAAATGCTCCTGGCTGTGTAAAAATCACTTAGAATCCCCATATGAGGTTAGCACCTGATTTTTATTTATTAAACATTAACCCGGTTAGGGTGTATTTTCAGGGTGAGTGCTCAGTCATGACTGTTTGTCAGTACCTTATACAACCAGAATCCAAACACCTGAATAATCACTGCTCAAATGTAATGGCTAACCCCGAGTCAGCCAAAAGGAAATGTGTTCAAGTGAGACGGATCCCCAAAACCTGCTCCAGTTCCTGTCTTCTCTGTTGCACCTGAAACAAATTAAATGCTGTATTTATTTACCAAACTTTGAATAATGTAACTGCAGGGAAAACGTGACCTAAAAATGCTTACTTTGGAATAGACGTATCTGCCCACAGCTTCTGGTACCCAGGGTGCCTGGTAGAAGTCAGTTCTTCTCTCCTCCTCTGGGTTTCCCGTCACATCTGTCATCAACTTAAAAAAAAAACAAAAACAGCTTTACTGAACAATGTGCTACGACATCTCTGGTTCAACACATGTTCAATGTTTTGCCCATGTTTTTTCTGTTAGGATTTTAACTGTAACTTTAGGGCTAATCCCTTATATTGTACCCTAAAAGTCAGTTGTGTATGATTTTTCTAAATTGCAAGTCAATAACTGTATCTGAGCTGATTCCTGAATGCATCGTTTTCTACTTTTTCTCTATTTTTTAAGGTCGGAGAATAGCAGGAGAACAAGAGAAAGACTCCGGAGTAGATTCCCCAACTAAGTGAAGGACATAGGAGAGTCTACACAAGCACTTGGTAAGTACTGTACACTGTCCTCAAAAGTATGCAGGCCTGAGTACTTCTGAATAACATGCTTGTTGGTCGAATCTGAGAAATTCAAACGACAATGTCGAAGATTTCACAAACACGTTTATTCAGGGAGTCTTGTTTAAGTCCATCTGACTCAATAATCACTTTCACAAGTTGTTCCCTGTACCTCCTATACTGTGTACATTGTTGTACATGTGGAGAAACCAGTACTTGAAGTGAGCGTTGCGTGTTTACCTTTAAATCTCTGCTCTGAGACTTGAGCCAGTCCTGGATGAAGTCCTGTGGGTTATTGCTGAAGCTGAGCATGAAGTCTCTTTCAGTCTTCAGTTGGTTAATGTACTCAATCGTCTCATGGATCTGTGTAACGTACAAACACAGCACATTTATTAAAACCTTAAAGCATACGTGTCAAACCCGAAGCCCGGGGGCCAAATGCGGCCCACCAAGCCATTTTGTGTGGCCTGTGGGAGTTTTTATAATCAATCAAATGATAATCAATTGCAGAAACATGTACTGGTCTGTTATGGTGTACGTAGTTACAACTATAACAGTGGTCCCCAACCTTTGTTGTCAGCCTGTACCACCTGTTAACACAGACTGGTAGCAAAGTGCTGAGCATTTAAGTATCATAAAATTTGCAAAATAAACCATCTTTTAGCCTGTATTCTGTTTTTATCAGAGTCTGAATAACATTTTAAAATATTACCAGATTATCCTTAAATAAAGAAAGTAAATGTATATGACAGGACTTTCTTTGAATGAAGTAAATTAGTAAAAATTAAGTAAATTTTTTTCCACTGTGTCCTACAGTGGCCTGGTATCAAATGACCTACGGGCTAGGGGTTGGGGACCCCTGATCTATACACTCTTCTGTATAGATCTGTATATTGCTGATGTGGCCCCTGGTGAAAATGAGTTTGACACCCCTGTATTAAAAGGTCAGCAAGGTGCGAGTGTGGGTAAATGAGTGGCAACATTAACCTTGATCTCCAGGGCGGCTATTTCCTGTTGGTTGGTTGTTGAGGACAGAAAACTGTTCATTTGGCTCTTCAACGGGTCATCCACTTCAACATCGATATCATAACAGGCCGTCTTCTTCTGATCTGTGGGGTCCACACTACCAAGGAGTGGTGTAAACGTGCAACGTAGCAAGACAACACAAAAGGAGCAGACGAGGGAGCAAAGTTGATCTTAGGAATTTTTTCTCTCATACGGGTGGCAATATGTGTGGCGAGTTACAGACATGCACATTTACCTGATGATGTGATTGATAATGATTGGGTCAGGGTGGTGCAGCAAGCCAGCCAGCTTCATTGGGATCTCTGAAAACCTCATGCGAGGACAGCCGAAGATCTGCATAGAAAACAAACACGATGCCCTACCTGAGAAAGATAGCATTTGTCCTATTTTGCTAATAAATATAAAATAAAAAAATATATAAAAAGGCTCAGACGATTTAAGCACATTTTAGTCGACGGTCTCTTACACAGCCGCTTTGAGGGGAAACAAACGTGGTTTATGTCTATATTAAAAAACTATGTAGGTCCTTGACTTACATCTAAATTAAATCCGTATTGCGCAACGTAAGTCAATTTTCACGGGAAGTCATAGGACAGGACATAAAAAGAACATCAAAAACAAGTTCCCAAAAAACAACACAAACAAAAGAAAGTAAATGTAGCACAATCCAATGTATTCATCTGCCCAACTACTTCCTGGGTGAAGTTTGTTTTAACCGCGCACGTCGGAATGATAGAACGCGACTCTTAATTAATTTATGGGAGATTTCGACATTACCACAAAACGCCGTAGGTCGGGGCCGTCGTAAACCGAGGCCCTCCTGTACAACGTAAAAAAACCGTATACGCAAAACAAGTTTTCTAGCGTTTTCATTACCTGTCTGAAGTAGCGGTTGCAGTTGATGTACTCCTTCTCGTGACCGTCCTGCAGCTTGTTGTTTTTGATGTACAGCCAGAGAGCTTGCATGATGCTGGCCCGTGTCTGCGTGTGCACACCCAGGAGACGAGCCAACAGTGGATCCAGCTTGTACTGAGGAGGCTGAACATGACAAATACAATGGGTTAATGAGAAAATGCCAAAAACAGATTCAACTGACAGGGAGAGTACGCGCACTTGTGTAACATACCTGATGGTCCAGCATGAGCAGCAGGGTGCATTTGACATTCACATCTCCCGGTCTTTTTACCTGGAAACCATCCGTTTCCTGAGTAGTGGGCATTCTGTGCCACTGTAAGATAAACATAAAAAGAATATTATTTTATTTAATCTCACTGTTTTGTTTTTTGTTTCAGAATTATTTACACTCACAGTATAACATTCTAATGCAGGGGTGTCCAGACTTTTTTTTTCACTTGGGAGCTACTACAGTGATCTACCTACATTAACAACTTTATGTATGTATATATTTACACATGTAATCTATGGCACAATATGATTACATTTTAACATATATGGTCACTACTGCACACTTTGGAATTATATAAATATATATATATATTTATATATATTTATATTTGAATTGCTCATGATCCAAAAGCAATCTACTGGTAGATCACAATCTACTTATTGGGCACCCCTGCACTAGTGTTAATACTATTTATAACAATCAAAATATGATGAGTTATGAGTTACGAGTTATAATTTTGCCCAAGATAACAATCAAAATATGATGAGTTACGAGTTATAATTTTGCCCAAAATCTCGTTTCTTTTTTACAAATAGATAACAAAAAGATCAAGATCTGATTTCACAAACACTTCTGTCTACAAACATGTTATAAAAAATGAATTATTTGCAAAACAGTGGCTTATGAATCAGCCGCAGTCTTGACCTTTCTTGGGTTTCAGAATCACTGCGACTTCTCACTTGTTCCTCAATGTGCAATACCTCTACTAAGTGGTTGTCAGGTCCGTAGAGCTCCTTATCGAGCTCGATCACCAAACTCTTGAAGAAAGAGGAGAACTTCCTTTTCTGCTTGCCAGGCTGGAAACACAAAAGAAACAAAAGATGGTGAAAACAGGGCAACATGACTGGCATCTGTGTCTCCTTATTGTGTGTCGGGCTGTGGGGCTGCATTGTTGGGCTCTGATCACACTGGAGATGGCAAGGCAGAAAAGAACTGTAGAAAACTAAAAAAAGCTGTTGCACACCCACCCTTTCCCAACCTCGTCAAAGTGTTTGCACAACGCGACCCTTTTTCCCCCTCACATCTCTGCTCTCTTTCTCAATTTCTCTAGGCAGAACTCCTACGCATGGTCGACACAAAGATAGAGAGAGAGACAGAGAGAAGTAGACAGAAAAAACGACTCCTTTATGTGGTCTGTCCGAGACAACACGAGTTGAGCGGGAACTGATAGAGAGCAGGGAGACATATCAGTTATTGGAATGTAAAGGCTTTGGTTTCAATTCCTTGTTTCAAAAAAAGAACACGAGCTTGTGTGCGTGCGTGTGTGTTTGATTCTGTGCGTAGTCATGGGGTGGAGCGAGGAGCGCTGCAAATACACATCTGGTTGCATGGTTGAGCCAAGGACATGAGCCAAACAGAGCTGGGAGACTGAATGTGAAGTTTGCAAGAAACACAGGGACAGAGACAGAAATAGTTAGAAATCGAACCGCAGAGAGATAGTTGCGAAGCTGTGAGAAAAGAATTTGAGACATAAGTGACTCAATCACATATTCACATACCTCCTCCAGTAGTTTGCCTTCTACCCTCAGCTCCCAGGACGAGACCTTCTCGGCCTCCTCACCCTCAGGCTTGCAGGGTGTGTAGGTGTTGGAGATGTAGATCCTGAGTTTGCGCTTTTGCTTGGAAAAGCGAAAGAGGGAACAGATCGTGAGCTCACGCAACACTTTTAGGCCAATATTTGACATGAGGTCCAGTAAGGAACCCATCACCAGAGTGAACAGTGGGCAGCTTTAAGCACCCGGAGAGCAGTGTGTGGGGACGGTGCCATGCTCAGAGCACCTCAGTGGTAACTTGGCAACTGGTGGACTCGAACCTGAAGCCTTCCAATTTTTGACATAATGTTCAGTAAATGACTGGAGCCATGTTTTTAGACAATGAATGTTCAGAATTCCAGTATTGATTTTTTCACACTGATAGCCACTAGAGGGCACTCTAGGCTTCTGTACCAGTACATGCTCCTCCTATACCACTGAAAATTGACATGTTCGTTATTTTCACACTGACAGTCGCTAGAGGGCACTAGTGCGACTAATACTCCAGAGCAACTTATATGTTTTTTTCTTCTTCATTATGCTTTTTTTGGCTGGTGCGACATGTACTCCGGAGCGACTTATAGTCCGGAAAATGCGGTACTCCATGGTGCGGTATTGGTATAAGAAAAAGTGTGATCAAGCTTTTCTATACACGCGAGAGGTCTAATCTTAATAAACACAGATATCAGCAGTGGAAAACCTTTGTTGCCTGGAAAATGTTCATTACAGAACATTTAAGAATGTACTGTAATGAAAATGTTCATTACAGAACATTTAAGAACAAACTATTTTTGTCTTCCAGTGCCAGGTTAGAACCAAAAAGGCATCCTTAGGTTAGCTTGAATGTTTGATGACAACAATACCATAATGGGCTTTTTGATTGCTTCCTGAATCTCCATACGCTTCCGAGCGATTGTCTGGTCTAGTTTCCTTTCAAAGGCCAGGAGGTCCATGTAGGCCTGGGACTCGGGCACCAGATCTCGGATCTAAAATACCAAAAGGTAAATCAGTTAATCACAGCAGAGGAAGCCTTGTTCATGAGGGGTAAAAAAAAGGAACAGATAATACACCCACCCTCTGTGGAAGAACCTTGTCTGCCATCTTGCGCCTTTTTGTCCTACAGAAAACAAAGTAGCACAGATGAAAGTGGGACTCGGACTTTTTTTCAAAGTGTGAAACTGCATCATGACCTGTGCTATTTCTTTCATTACCGCCCCACAGTGAGAGCCCGGGGCTTCCACTCATTGTAGTTAGTGATTTCATAAAGTGTCTCTACAATTAAATCACGCATCTTGTCTCTATTACACCTCTAATTACAACGCCTTTAATGACAGCTTACGATAGTTGCCTTTAGTCTTGCGCAAACCTGATTGGCTATTTTGAGAAATGCATTACAAAATTATTGTTCAGAAAGTGCCTCGCATCGCAAACAACCACATTTATGAGTGTGACCTCGTTTTGCAGTTTGAGGTCAGAAACATCTACTGGAGTTACAGCACATGTCAGTCATGAGATACTTCAGTATCTGTGTGATCGGAGCTGTGAACAGCAATAACGTTAACGCAGACAAACACAGCTGCCCTGTTGTAAAGTTATAGCTCTTCTTTACTGAATCTTTTCATGTGATTGCAGCCTCGACAGTGGATGCGACTCGCAACAATTTTTTTTAATGTCTCCATTTGAAATACATACTTTAGACCTTTGATCTTGCCTTAAAATGCTTATATTATTACATTAAACACCGAATCATAGTATCTCTTATTGATTATGACTTATTCATGACATTCTTATGACATATTTTGTCACACTATACTTCTTACTCTATGACCTACTATGACTATAACTGTACTATTTCTATTTATTATTTATGATAATTTATTACTATTTATTATTATTTATGTATTTTGCATGTTTACGACGTCGACGACGTTGATTGAAGTGATTTCATGTTTGCAACAGATGGAAGGTGTTAACAGACATCGTTGTTCATATTTAAAAACAGTTTTCCTCCCTCCCTCGTCTCTACTTTACCCTCGTCTGAGGCCTCCTCCTCCCCCCAGTGCCTCCTGTTGCTGTTGTTGTTGATGTTGATACAGGACCCGCTTCCTTGAGGCGTCCATGCTCGGAGGCCCCATGCCTGGCCGCATGGGCATGTTCCCACTACCATAAGAGGGGCCTGGCAGCTGACCCCCCATTGATCCCATGGGGCCCCCAACCCTACTGGGTGGGATTCCTGGGCGCTGTTAGAGAGGGTGAGAGCTGATGTTATTATTTGGCTCTAATGACACAGTTCTGAGTGTGGAAGACACTACAAACAGTAATTCAACAACTGAGTTTCAGGAACTATCACTGTGTTAAATACTTGTGCAACCCAGCGTTTGCGGTGACTCTTTTTCTCTTTGTGATGTGTCAGACATTTTCAATAAGACACAGACTTTATGAAGCCTTTTTTTTTAAGTTTGTGCATGATTAGGTCTGGTTTCGTGCTGCTGAAAAAATGTGAGTTCTTGGGAAGTGTGCTGTCCTGATGGGAACACGTGTCTCTCTGAAATTCTAGAACTAACAATTTCAGATATTTGTCGATGGTATATTAGCATGTACTTCTTGTTTTATCTATTATTAACCAAACCAAGCCTAACTGTCTACTTGTTTGACCACAGAGTAGCTTTTTATCGCCTCTGATTCCAGGCCATCTCAGACAGTAGTTTAAAGAAGCAGTTCTGGCGTTCAGACAAAATGAATTCTCAGTTCCCTCGTGACGTTTCCCGCGAAATGGTGAGACATGAGCCCTCACTGTTTGCGACGACTGAGCCCTTGGGGTGTACTCCTTTTATACCGAATCTCTAAACATGTCACAAGTGAGCTTGTAATTCAAGAAGCTTTCATTGTTTTGCTTTCAAGTCTTACATTCCCTCTTAAAGTTCTTCAGACATTATTTCTAATTACTCTATAAGTAAACTAACACTTATGATTATTTATGTGGACGTGTGACAACAGCAATTCTGTCCAAACATGGGACAACTTTGTATACTTGAGGGAAAATTGCACTTATTTATGATTATGATTATTGTTTTTTTAAATAATTCTTCTCTGTTGTGAACCTACAGAAGTGACATCATAGTCGTGTTATGACAGTTTCTTTCTTTGTCCGTTAACTTTTGCCTACGTCCAAACATGAAAAATATCTTGTAGTCCTAAGTCTTTTTTTTATTTTATTTTTGTCTCTGTTGTATAGTTAGGGGCTAGGATTGGAAGTGTTATCTTCAGCGACAATAAAACTTGGTCTTAGGTTGCAGCTTGGATATTGAAAATGATCTGTTTTTAATCTATGCTATGTGACACTTTTCAAATGTCTTTATTATGCCATTCCCTTTAGATTGTGAAGTTTGGAGAGTTTTGCTAACGTTGTGTATTCAAAACACGGTCGTGATCTTACACACTCATCTGGTGCATTCGTTTTTGCCAAGATATTTGCAAGTGTCACTTCAATCACTGATAAAAAACAGGTTTTTACGAACCAGTGTAACTGAACGTCAACCGTCGGTTTTCACACTGTTTGAACATTACTGTGTAAACCCACATGAGTGATGTAGACACAATGTTTTTGTACGTTACATACGTTAGATACGGAGAAGACAAAAAGAACGGCTATTGTGTTCGGCAAACAAGTGTTTGGGGGGGGGAGGTAAGAACTTTAATGTTCGGCATGTAAGTGACTGTATGTAAGTTGGTGTAATTTTATTCACTAGTCAAATGCGGAAGTAAAAACATGTGGGGTTTTTCCCACTGAATAACGTTAAGTGTCTTACTAAACTTAACACGTTTTTTTAAGGATATACATTTACCTCATAGTTACTGTGCAATTTACTTACCGGATACTTGGTGTATTACTTCAAAACCTTAACTTTCCCCAGTAAACAACAAAAAAAGGAAATTAAAATGAAGCTACAAACTGACCTGCAGGTACTGGGGTAACATGTTCATGCTCCGGCTGTATCCGCTCATTGACTGCGGCAGTCCAGACATTCTCATGCCCGCCGAATGTCCCGCATTCATAGGACTCAAATTCGGGTTAATCGCGGAACCGGGGAAGCCTCCTCGCGATGCCATCCTCTCGCTCCACAAGTGGTTAGAGTTGAATTTGCCTTAATATTTCGCTGCAACTTCGCGCGTAGCAGGACCGCCAACAGAACGCCTCTGCCCCAAACCCTAGATGTCCCACTGAGTGATTACCAATAGTCACTTTTCACAGGCTGCAGTTTTGACAGCGAACCGCCTGTCAACAGAATGCTAGCTGACGTTAGCTCCGCTCTAACCGGTTCAAGTTCCGGGATTTGCTTTAATCTACAACAGCCTCGGGTGAGAGCAGCGAGTCGTTTCCTCCCTTTCTCCCCGTTTAGTGTCAACTTCGTTAAGTAGCTTCTGTTTCACCGCGAATCAAATAAACAGTTGACAACACACACTGCGGCAACAAGCAAAGTAGATATCTCGCCTACTGCAGTAAAACTCTTAAACTAATGTTGTTCTGTTAGTTCATTTTAAGACAACGTTCTTTAGTTCGTTTTAGAGTCAGATTCTCTTAAAAACAATTGAATCGCATTTTCTCTTAGCAGTCGTTTTTTGAATGAAGTGTAATATGAATGATTATTGTCTGGGATTAAAATCTTTCTTTTTATTATCTATTTTGTTCATAACAGTTGGGCGTAAACTAGACACGCTCTTGGCGTACAGTGAATTTTACCTGTAGAAAATAAACCCAGTAGGTGGCAGTGTTGTAACTATACTGTAAAGAACCATTAATAAAACTGTAGTGGCTGAAGCCAATTTCAAGGGAAGTTTATCTTAAAGGAAAGCTGAATGTCCGCACAGCAGTTCAAACTGAAGCTTTATTACATTGTGGCTATTTGAATGAATTAAATATAGTATTGTAGTACTTAAAGTAATACTAGGGCACCTAGACTGCATTCAGCACCTTACAGCTACATGTTTAGGAAAAATTAGAACACTAGAAAAAAAGAGACAAATCTTGTTCAGTTCTTACCACTACTTTCCAAATTTCATCTATATCCATGTTGTTTTAATTCACGTCATAATGTACAACTGGATAAAGGAAATGATGAAAAACCATCAGGTTTAAACCGGTTCAAGGCGAAAAAGAACAATAAGTCATATGTAACAAATCGTTTATTTTGCTAGACAGATGAAACAGACTGAGCCATGATAGCAGCAATTCAACTATCGGAATATTTACACTATCACATCACACAAAAGATATACAGTATGTCACCCTTTACAATGTAAACACATGATAAAAAGACATGTTTGATTGCTAGAAAAAAAAAAGAAAAAAAGAAAAAATTAAAGCTGCTTCATGCAGCAAATACCTGGTTGGACAATTAGGAATTTATAGACTGAACATTTTCTGAACAGGTTTTTCACAAGTTAAAGTCACGCACACATATGTCATTTAACTGCAGATTCACTAGCATCATGTTGAATGTAAAAACAAAAAAGACAAACCACTGAAGAAGATTGTCTTTTACATTATTTTCAAAGTAGGATTACTTTAAACCAGTGAGGTAAATACAAACACACCTATAATTTTGTATTTCAAGAAACAAGATGTGCACACAAATGCCTCAGCTCAGCCACTAGATTCATGACACGAGAATATAAGGTATGTGAGGTCACGTCGTATACGGTGATGTTGATTATTCTGGGCTGCAGTGGAGAAAGGGGTTGGTATAATGATTTTTGTAGAGAAAACAAAAAGCGGTCAAGTATACAGTGAGAGGTCTGAACTGTTTCTGCAGAGCAGCAAACACTATACAGTATATCTTTTAGCCACAACAACAACAATATCTACTGGTGCCAGTTCTTCGAAGAACAGCATGTAAGTTGTTTCTGGTCTCCTTGTGCTTAGGCATGAGTGTCTGTGTACCCACACATACAGACGATGGTTGTTGAACTGAGTGTTTGTTGAATTGAGTGTTTGTAGCCGAGTGTTTTATTGCGGGAACGCCTCATCTTTCATCAGCATGCGTGGACTTTCCTGGTTATCCATTCGACGTCTAGGCCCCATCATGCCTACAGAGATAGAGAGTGAATATTAGGTTCATTGAATGTCATTAATGGACATACTACATTTATGCATTTCATTAACAATGAAGCTCTACACCAGGGGTGTCAAACTCAAATTCACAGTGGGCCAAAATTATAAACTGGGATGAGGACGTGGGCCAAACTTAATATTTATTGACAAATTTGAGTGTAAATGTTCATGTTTACCCTTCTCTCCAGATCTGTAAAGTAAAACTTTTTTATATGGATGTTTTACATAAACATTGAATCTGGAACAACCAAAGGTTAATATTATAAACACATGAGAAATTAAATTTGAAATAAAACACACATCGATGGTATTAATTTCGAGTTTCTTTTTTCACAGGCCAAAAAAAAAAAAAAAATACTTTAAATGTATGTGCTATAACATACCCCATCCACCACTAATACTACAAATTCTGCCAGTATATAGGGTCTATATACTGACGGGGCAATGAGACACCAAAGCACGACTGGAAACTTGCAAGCTACGGTGCTTCTAAAAACGTTTGGGGACATCCGAGTGGATGAACAGCTCAACGAACAGGTGCGAAAGGGATTCATTGATGGAACTGAAGGCACAGATAAACTGTACAACCAAGTCATTGAGGTCTTCTTGAGGAAATAAAGTAGAATGGATTTGTGTTTTGGTGAGTACAAACATTTTGTTCATTTACTTGCGGAATTATTGATTTTTTAATGCGTCAGAAAATAGCCCGTTTTGTACACAACTGAGGTGATGCAATGCCCAGTAGTGCTTATAGTGTGTTTCTGTATATAATTTCTCCCGCGGTGGTCACGTGGTGTCCTAAATTATGATATTATAAGAGGTATTTATTGAAGTCGGACTAAGTAGGACATCACTGAAGGCCTAGGTGTGAAATGCGCTACCCGCCATTGTTGTAAAGTGGTATTGCAGTGGTGTTGGTATTTTAATTTTTAATTTGGTTTTCTTTCATCAAAAGTTCTAAGTTCCCTTGTCGCCCTCTGCTGACCATAACGAGCACTCATCAGCAAGTGTGATGAGTGCACGATTCGCCCTCTTGTGGCTCAACAGAGTGTGGTTGCCTGTTTGAGCCACCAGAGGGCGAATCGTGCAGACATTCTATTGGGACCTTCTTGTTGGCGCAGCTAAACCGAACAACCGACCGCATTTACTAGATTCCATCATAAAATGTGTCCCTACGCTAAACTGTCCTTGAGGAACATGATTAAAATAGATGTCGATAGAAGAAAAACAAAAATAAAAATAAAATAATCATAAATAATAACGATTAAAAAATAGTTTACTCATTTTGCTACTGTTTTTTTCGGTCTTTCTAATGCAGCCAAGTTTGCTACTGTGAATGCTACGTTTATATCTGCCATTAAGATTGTAAAACACTTGTAGAGTGCAGTCGGTTGTGCTCTTTTGTTCAGCAGAGGGCGACATTTAGTAGGAAGGAAATAAAAAAATTAAAACAGCTTTATTTTTCAGCAATGCACAAAAGATTTAAACCTGCGATCCTTTACTTAGATGAGTACCTATCTTACAGCTAGATGATGATAATTTAGTCACTAACGAATCATTAGAAAAAAATGTATTAATTTTTTTGATTTTTTAAAATACATTCCTTTACTTTCACGTTATTTTCCACACAACTGGATCCCAAAACTAAAATTTCTTTCAGACACAAATTGACAAAAACATGAAACTGAATGTGAATCCATCATGTTCTTTAAAAATGCTAAAAGTATATTTGTCAAAAATTATCCCAAAAATGTTAGATTATAACTTAAAAAGAAAATATAATCTAAAAACACCTACAATTGTCACAATGTGTACAATTTTCACTAAAAATCCCCCAAAACATCATATTTTGTTTTGTTGAAAATCACCTCACATCTTAAGTCGACATTGACCAATCAAGGTTGACAACAGGGCAAATTAATAGCTAAAGTGCAACTATCAGTAATCACTTTGTGTTAAAAGGAAGCTGGAAAACCACCCATTTTGATTGGATAAAAATGTAAGCAGACTTGCAAGCAACCAAGTCAGTTTTTCAAATTCATCTATGATTCATTTGCACTTTGGTGAGCTACTTGAGCAACTCACATACATTTGAGAAGGACGGTTAGCTTACAATTGGAGGGTGGTGGAATTGATTCCAGACTAATTTATGTTTCCCCCTGGCAGCTCTGCAAAGTACAGATGTTTTTTTTAGGCACAAAGAACTCAAACAAAATCAAACAAATCCTGGTTTGGTTTGTGGGAATTATTTATTTTATACTTGTGTAACAATTATAAACCAAACAAATAACAAAAACAATGTTGCATGATTTAACAATATGCAAGGCCTTTCACTTCCACAGCTTCTTGATGGACATGTTCTTCTCACTGTCTTTCTGCATCACCTGGTGGGGAAGGAGGAAGGTGGAGATCAGTGTCAGCGTGAGTAGTAAAATATTGTGCTATTTTATATGTATTTTTGTATAATGAGAGAATTTAAAAAAGGATGTACAATCGACTCCATTGTGTTTCACTTACCTTTGCTACAGCCATCTCAAAGTCCTCTTGGGTGACGTGAACTCTCCTTTCTCTCAGAGCATACATGCCAGCCTCTGTGCAAACACCCTGAGAGGACACGCAACAAGGACATTAAAGTAAGTTGGACCTCATTTTTTAAATGTTCCAGGTGGCACTGTGGAGCTACTTTGTCGCTTCAACACCCTCTGCTTTTATCTCTCTTAATTTGCAAAGTAGCAACAAAATTCTGAGTGCATCAACGGAATGAAATAAACATTGTCATTTTAGCATTTAACATGTAAATTAGCTTTGATTAGACTGTCCTAAGAATCAACCAAACAAAATATCCCCCCTCACCACTCATTATTACAATACTGACAAACTCTCACCTTAACCTCTGCACCAGAGGCTCCAGGCATCAGCTCAGCAATCTTCCTCAGGTTAATGCCACGTGTCAGGTTCATTTTTCTGGAGTGGATTTTCAGAATGTCCAGACGGGCCTAAAGTGCACATTAAAAAATGAGCTCACACTCGACATTGCCCTCCTTCGCCTCCCACCCCTGAATCTGTGTGAAACGCAAAACTGGGGTGCGATCACCTACCTCTTCATTAGGAGGAGGAAACTCAATCTTCCTGTCAATCCTGCCTGGTCTGAGCAAAGCCGAGTCCAAAATGTCGATACGGTTGGTGGCCATGATGACCTGCAGCAATGGATAATAAAGCTTAGATGAAAATCCTCGCAACATAGACCAAAGTTTTGTTCAGCATTCACAGAAGTGTAACACACATTATACTACTAATACTACACAATATTTATATATTGAATTTATATCAAAATCAAAAATCTATTATAAGTTTATAACTGCAGGGTTGGATCAATGCACAGTAGATAAATAGTACCTTAGCTCATCAGAAACACTTCAGTGTGCGTGTGAATATGTGTTGTACCTTGATGTTTTTCGTCGCCTCGAAGCCATCCAGCTGATTAAGGAGCTCCAACATTGTCCTCTGCACCTCACTGTCGCCCCCCGACCCGCCCTCCAGCCGAGACGAACCGATTGAGTCGATCTCATCCATGAAGATGATTGAGGGGGCATGTTCTCTAGCCATGACGAACAGCTCTCGAACCATACGAGCACCTGGAGTAAAAGTCTTAAGTTATATTTAAACCACAAAACAGGTCACAGCGTGTCATTACAGGAGATGGGGGCGGGGAGGGTTCCAAAGTGAGACCACTGTTAAAAACCACTGTTTTGTTATGGTTTAATAAGCCGGATAGAGCAACCTCCTGTAGTTAGGTTCTACAGTTGACTTCTTGGCCATTTGTCAGAGATTATGAATGATGAGCGACAACGGAAACTGCCCAAATGACAGTGGTCAAAAGTTTAGTGATATTGGCCTCACGACATGCAAACAAACAGGATTGAATGGCTGCTAAAGGTAACCATACTAATCTGTCGTCTGTTTTTGCTCTCCTAACAGACTCTTGCATCTGTCATTAATTGAGCCCAACAAATTGGAACACAGCGGGAGACAGGACTCACCCTCTCCAATAAACTTTTGGACCAACTCAGACCCAGACACCCTGATGAAGGTGCAGTCAGTGTGGTGGGCCACAGCTCTGGCCAGCAGGGTCTTCCCTGTACCTGGAGGTCCGTACAGGAGTACACCCTACAAACACATAGCAAGTACGCCATTAAGTAGCTTAGCATCCTATTCAATTAATTTATATTTAGGACCTAGCATGTTGATTAATTAAATATAGTCAAAATACACTTGTGTGAATAATATATACATATATTATTGATTTTTAATTTAAGTATATTTTTGGCATAACCTAAGACATAGAACAAAAATGAACTTTCCATAGATTCTAAGCTAGTTTAACAAACCCACCTTTGGCTGTGCAATGCCCAAAGCCTCAAAAAGCTCGGGGTGTTTGACCGGCAACTCAATAACTTCTTTAATCTCCTTAATCTGCTTATCCAGGCCACCAATCATTTCGTAGGTGGAGTCCGGAACCTTTTCCACCATCATGAGAGAGACCAGGGGATCCACCTTGTTTGGCAAAATCTTGTGCAGGGTATAGCTGTCGTTCCGCAGGGCCACGCGACAGTTGGGCGTCACCTGTTTCAGAAGTGTGCAAAAACAATGGAGGTGAGGAATCGACCTGTGTAACACTTTACTTTTTTCATAAATGTTTTGATTTCTATGCTATTCAAACTTATGAAACTTTGAAACTAGTTTGTTAGACAATTTTCTGAGATAGAAAAAAAACAAACAAAACTTACATCATTGATATCAATGTTTTTGTCAACATCCACAACAAATTTCCCTTCTGGATGAACCTGCAAATGAAAACAGACATTTCTTTTTAATTATTGCAATTGGCTTACAAATTAACCAAAGAACAGTATTTTAATCAGCGAGGTGTCAATGTGTAGTCGACATGATAAATACATAAAGAGTAATATAAAGTATAGGAAAAAAATAAAATAAAACCAATAAAATGAAAAAAATATTTCTCTGTGGATCCAGGAACCCCCATGACCTTTGGCCTGGTTGGGTTCTGTTGTATGTTTTAAAAATTACACAAGTTACCTTGACCAGCACTTTCTTTTTGTCCATGACCCTCACGACTTCACCGACATAGGAACCCTGCTCCTGCAGTAGCTGCAGCTCCTCACGAAGGAGGCGCACTGAGAGGAAAGAAAAAGTATCAGCCAAATTACAGTTGTCAATGCATTGAGTTTGACATTTTTGGTTTATACCATTTCTGTGTGTCTAAGTATGGTAGAAGTGATAATAGTGATAAGAATTAATTTAACTCAAAATTAACTAAGTTTTGTTATGTGGTGAAAATCAATGACGGAATAACAAGGATAAAACAATTAAGTTATAAAATACTAAAAACATTCCTTATTTATTATTCCTTTATTTCAACGAATAAAAGAACAACCCTTTAAGCTAGATCAACATAATTGTAATGATCCCACATTTACCTTTAGCATTGAGCTCATTTCTCTGTGCCTGCAGACGTCTAAGATTCTGGCTCTTGTCATTTACTGTTAACTGCAAAGAAAACAGTTTTGAGATTAACAAGAAAACATGATATGTTATCACTATACCAGTTCAGTTCAGTTTTTTACCTGTAATTCCTCTATCTTAGACAAGTAGTATTGCCGTAGACCTGTGCCTCCTTTACAATCACCCATCTCCATCTGTAAAAACAAAATATGAATTTAAAACATATACAAAATTCCAAATAATTTAAATAACTATTAATAACTACTAGTTTAAATAACTATTAATAGCTACTACTTGAAAATGGTCTTTGTGTGTTTCCCCTTTTAAAATCAAACCAAAATGAATAGCCATGGTGAGAGTACAACACAAACAGCTAACGTTGTTTTCATTTTAACGTTTAGGTATGTATCTGACATTTGTGACATTTTCTGGATTTTCGATTGACTTCTATTGTCAGGGTAATCCTATTCCAAAAACGTATTAAGCCCACTTAATTGTCTTAAAAACCGAGGTATCATAAACGATAGTTTACTAAATAATTTGTGATCATTACTGCAGACAGTTTTAACAAAAGACCTGAGTTTATCCATTTGTGTCTTAAGTCGCATATTATGGCACCGATACCGCAACAACAGACAGATTTTTAGAATATATATGACACAGCAAAAACATTTATCCGAGCTTATTTTTGTTATAACAAACAAACGCGTACTGTGAAATGCAAGTCATTCTGAGATGCTAACCTGAGCAAACTGCTGTATTCACGTCAATTAGCTTTGGCTAACTGTGTAGGCGCTTTAGCAGTAATGAGACAGCAAACCGGTTTCTCATTCACCGTTTAGAATGGTATCAACATAAATCGTCGGTTCGAGATGGCGTATCTCGAACTCCCGAAAAATGTAATACACTGTGGGTCTATGCGCTAGTACAGCCGTTCCAAACGTTCGTTAAATAAAAAAAATGTCAAGACAGCACAAACGAAGCTACCTACATGACCAGTCCCGTCCACCTCCATCTTAAATTTTATATTTCCGTTTTACAGTATGCACTTCCGGTAACGTAGAACAAACCTATAAATCCTACATTGCCATCTACAGGACAACGAAACGCACCTTTTAGTACGGTATAATTGATGTTACCTCATTGGGGAACTGTAATATTCCCCTTTAAAATATTAGGTTTAACACTACTGCAAAATATATACTTACGTGTATTTTTGACGTAATGGGTATTGTTCGAATGACGAACAATATCCACTATGTTTACTGTAAAAAAAAAAAGTAAATCTACATTGTTTTCTTGTCTTTACTTGTCGTTACTATTCAAGGTTATTTTATAATAGTGATAGTGTTTTACTGTAATGTTTAGAATCACCATGTTAAATAATCAAAAGTTTAACTTAGGAGTACTATTATATATGATACACAACGACTTATGAGGCCCAGAACTATAAGTCAGTTACAATTCATTAGAAAATAATGATTTTTAAACCGTTTGTCTATTTAGTCTCTTAGAACTGTCCATCGTTGAGTAATAATAATGAAATTGATGATAATGAAGACTTTATACTTAATTGAATTACTGACTGTTGGGTTGCTTGAACTACTGACTATTTAAATTAATTAACAGAATGACCCAGAGCCCATAAAACATAATTATGAAAGAAGCCACCGGCAAAAAATGCAAGTACAGAACAATCATTGGTCAAGTATATTTATTGTAGAAAATAATCCAAATGTATAAAAGATAATGGCTTTTGATCAGTACACATAATGTAAAATTTTACAAAGAGGCTGCACAACAAGCCTCTGTATATGTTTTGGCACTGCAAGTTATATGTTAATGTGGAATGATTTAACACACTGGAATGTTTTATACAAATCCTTAACAATTCAAACCAAAGGTTTACTCACAATGAAATAGTACTGGATTTAACAAGCAACACAAAGAACACATAATAGCATACACTTTGTAAACAATTCTGAAAAGTACAAAACAACTGATGGTCCAGGCTCAGAGTGGATTCACCACTGTTTATAACGAACAGTTTTCCTAAAAGTTCCCAAGATCATCAACCAAAAACGAAAGCACCTAAACCTCTTAAGGTCACCCCTGGCATTGAAAAAAAACTTATGTCAATCTCCCAGGCACCAGAAGTAATTTTTTCCCCCATAAAGTTATTTACAAGACACAGAGTCAGCTGCAAAAATCACAATGTTTTCAACATTAATTCCTCATTTATAATGCTAAACAAGCTAAACAACAGCTAAACAACAGCTAAACAAATCCAAAGCTTTTAAGAAAGGCTCAAAATGATAGACTTATATAGGAACAGTACCACAAAGTGTGTGTTTCCACTGCAGGCAACACAATTCATTTTAGTACCAGGTTTTAATTTAGTTTTTGCTTGGAAGGTAGGGCTTATTTGGAGGTATAGACCCAACTAAAAAAAACTGTTTGCAAACTCACTGTTTGGGACAAAACATAAATGAAAGTGAAAGACAAAGTGCTAAATGTACTCATATTTGTACAATTATTATTATAACTTCTATAAACCACACGGCTGGATTTCATAACTTGGTGATTAGAAAATAAATTTAGGCTGAAAGTCATCGTTTCAGCCACAGAGTCAATGCGTACAGGAAGCAGGAAGTCTTAACAAACATCAGATACTAGTCGTCACATACCAATGAAAGGCAGCGAGGCATCAAAAAGGCAGAAACTTTGAAAATGTTCTTAAAGTCCCTGATAATGTTCCTTGATAAAGTAGATTCATAGAGTTGAATCACATGCTTGTGTTGCCCAAATCCTTCTCATTGCTTTGAATTAGTGACACGTGGCAATAAAGTTAAATTTAATCTAATAGATTAAAATTGTTTGAGTCATGGCTTTTATCCAGGTCTGAGTATTTTCAGAAATCTAAAACTAATATAATCTCACGAATGTTTTCACTTCTGGTCTACAGTATTTCTGTATTTCTTTATATTATTTTATAAAATGTATGCAAGTATACATTTTTGCCATTTTTGTAAAGGCAGGATTAGATCAATAAATGCTCCTGGCTGTGTAAAAATCACTTAGAATCCCCATATGAGGTTAGCACCTGATTTTTATTTATTAAACATTAACCCGGTTAGGGTGTATTTTCAGGGTGAGTGCTCAGTCATGACTGTTTGTCAGTACCTTATACAACCAGAATCCAAACACCTGAATAATCACTGCTCAAATGTAATGGCTAACCCCGAGTCAGCCAAAAGGAAATGTGTTCAAGTGAGACGGATCCCCAAAACCTGCTCCAGTTCCTGTCTTCTCTGTTGCACCTGAAACAAATTAAATGCTGTATTTATTTACCAAACTTTGAATAATGTAACTGCAGGGAAAACGTGACCTAAAAATGCTTACTTTGGAATAGACGTATCTGCCCACAGCTTCTGGTACCCAGGGTGCCTGGTAGAAGTCAGTTCTTCTCTCCTCCTCTGGGTTTCCCGTCACATCTGTCATCAACTTAAAAAAAAAACAAAAACAGCTTTACTGAACAATGGGCTACGACATCTCTGGTTCAACACATGTTCAATGTTTTGCCCATGTTTTTTCTGTTAGGATTTTAACTGTAACTTTAGGGCTAATCCCTTATATTGTACCCTAAAAGTCAGTTGTGTATGATTTTTCTAAATTGCAAGTCAATAACTGTATCTGAGCTGATTCCTGAATGCATCGTTTTCTACTTTTTCTCTATTTTTTAAGGTCGGAGAATAGCAGGAGAACAAGAGAAAGACTCCGGAGTAGATTCCCCAACTAAGTGAAGGACATAGGAGAGTCTACACAAGCACTTGGTAAGTACTGTACACTGTCCTCAAAAGTATGCAGGCCTGAGTACTTCTGAATAACATGCTTGTTGGTCGAATCTGAGAAATTCAAACGACAATGTCGAAGATTTCACAAACACGTTTATTCAGGGAGTCTTGTTTAAGTCCATCTGACTCAATAATCACTTTCACAAGTTGTTCCCTGTACCTCCTATACTGTGTACATTGTTGTACATGTGGAGAAACCAGTACTTGAAGTGAGCGTTGCGTGTTTACCTTTAAATCTCTGCTCTGAGACTTGAGCCAGTCCTGGATGAAGTCCTGTGGGTTATTGCTGAAGCTGAGCATGAAGTCTCTTTCAGTCTTCAGTTGGTTAATGTACTCAATCGTCTCATGGATCTGTGTAACGTACAAACACAGCACATTTATTAAAACCTTAAAGCATACGTGTCAAACCCGAAGCCCGGGGGCCAAATGCGGCCCACCAAGCCATTTTGTGTGGCCTGTGGGAGTTTTTATAATCAATCAAATGATAATCAATTGCAGAAACATGTACTGGTCTGTTATGGTGTACGTAGTTACAACTATAACAGTGGTCCCCAACCTTTGTTGTCAGCCTGTACCACCTGTTAACACAGACTGGTAGCAAGGTGCTGAGCATTTAAGTATCATAAAATTAGCAAAATAAACCATCTTTTAGCCTGTATTCTGTTTTTATCAGAGTCTGAATAACATATTATTTTAAAATATTACCAGATTATCCTTAAATAAAGAAAGTAAATGTATATGACAGGACTTTCTTTGAATGAAGTAAATTAGTAAAAATTAAGTAAATTTTTTCCACTGTGTCCTACAGTGGCCTGGTATCAAATGACCTACGGACTAGGGGTTGTGGACCCCTGATCTATACACTCTTCTGTATAGATCTGTATATTGCTGATGTGGCCCCTGGTGAAAATGAGTTTGACACCCCTGTATTAAAAGGTCAGCAAGGTGCGAGTGTGGGTAAATGAGTGGCAACATTAACCTTGATCTCCAGGGCGGCTATTTCCTGTTGGTTGGTTGTTGAGGACAGAAAACTGTTCATTTGGCTCTTCAACGGGTCATCCACTTCAACATCGATATCATAACAGGCCGTCTTCTTCTGATCTGTGGGGTCCACACTACCAAGGAGTGGTGTAAACGTGCAACGTAGCAAGACAACACAAAAGGAGCAGACGAGGGAGCAAAGTTGATCTTAGGAATTTTTTCTCTCATACGGGTGGCAATATGTGTGGCGAGTTACAGACATGCACATTTACCTGATGATGTGATTGATAATGATTGGGTCAGGGTGGTGCAGCAAGCCAGCCAGCTTCATTGGGATCTCTGAAAACCTCATGCGAGGACAGCCGAAGATCTGCATAGAAAACAAACACGATGCCCTACCTGAGAAAGATAGCATTTGTCCTATTTTGCTAATAAATATAAAATAAAAAAATATATAAAAAGGCTCAGACGATTTAAGCACATTTTAGTCGACGGTCTCTTACACAGCCGCTTTGAGGGGAAACAAACGTGGTTTATGTCTATATTAAAAAACTATGTAGGTCCTTGACTTACATCTAAATTAAATCCGTATTGCGCAACGTAAGTCAATTTTCACGGGAAGTCATAGGACAGGACATAAAAAGAACATCAAAAACAAGTTCCCAAAAAACAACACAAACAAAAGAAAGTAAATGTAGCACAATCCAATGTATTCATCTGCCCAACTACTTCCTGGGTGAAGTTTGTTTTAACCGCGCACGTCGGAATGATAGAACGCGACTCTTAATTAATTTATGGGAGATTTCGACATTACCACAAAACGCCGTAGGTCGGGGCCGTCGTAAACCGAGGCCCTCCTGTACAACGTAAAAAAACCGTATACGCAAAACAAGTTTTCTAGCGTTTTCATTACCTGTCTGAAGTAGCGGTTGCAGTTGATGTACTCCTTCTCGTGACCGTCCTGCAGCTTGTTGTTTTTGATGTACAGCCAGAGAGCTTGCATGATGCTGGCCCGTGTCTGCGTGTGCACACCCAGGAGACGAGCCAACAGTGGATCCAGCTTGTACTGAGGAGGCTGAACATGACAAATACAATGGGTTAATGAGAAAATGCCAAAAACAGATTCAACTGACAGGGAGAGTACG